GACACTACGAGCGCCCTGATGCTTCATTGCCATCACCCGAAGGTATGCATCGCCTGTACTGGAACTAGTAGTTGTTCGGCCGGGCCGTGGCTCAGTTTGCTCGATGGTTTCAGTGGACTTCTTCTCAATCGGACAGACTTGGCGCAACACACAGTGGCACCGACGCGCGGGAATGCCAGAAGGAAAATACTGCCGGGTTATCTGTCAACTCTGCATCGGACAGTGTTCGAAGATGTTCGACCTTCCTGCCTCACGGCTTTTGCAGCTTCCCAGCAACTGACGTGTGTAGGAGGCTTGTAAGAAGACCGCATAGTCTAGACCCTTATCTTCCGTGGCTACTTTAGACAGGCTCTTTCACCAAAAACGAGAGAGCGGCTTTAAGTTCGGGAGGGGGCTGGCGGGTTTGACAGCTACAAAGGTTACTCACACTAGGTGCAGAATGTAGAGAATGCAGGTAAAACATGTTTCGCAGGGTTCTGGGGAACAGCACACCGGAAGTGGTGCTCGCGGGGTTCGAAGGGAGCAAAATCCCGCTTTGCCTGGCAAACAAAGTCGCGACCTGCCTGCTGGCAAGCCCCACATGAGGGACCTGATCAACCGGCAGGCCTGCAGATCAGCCTCCGTGATTCTGGTTGCTGGCGGTGAAGACTTGGACATCTGCGCAGGTACGTTGGAAATGGAGCTGCCCTGCACTCCTTCGATGCCATTGTACTCGACGGGCAAACCAAGATCTACCTTGGCTTCAGCGAGCGTCACCAAATTGAAGACACGCTGTGGCCAACATGGCACGTCGTTCGTTTCGGCCAAAGACAAGACACTCCCCGAACCAACTTGCGCCCCTAAATGACCTGCGGCTGCTTCCGAACTGCTGCTGCTGCTGCTGTGCGATTGCCTACCGTGGCCCCTTTCGACGGCTGGGGGAGGGGGTGCGCTGGAGAGATGCCAAGATACTCCGCAGACCTTGTGGGGTCACACTGCCTTTCTCTTAAGACTTGCAGGCCAGCCCCACACTATGCAATCACTGCCTGCACCCTATGCATGGTTTACATGGCTGTTGTGGCATGTTGCGGCGAGGGTCTAAGGTTCGAGTGTGAGCACCCTGCGCAGTCACATGAACCACGAGGAAAAAGTTCTTTGAATGTTGCGACCGCAAGAACGGACGCAGCCGGAATGGGCTCCTGACCTGCAGGTCTTTGGCACTGGCATGATGTCGCAATGTGGTGAGATGAAGAGTGCACCAGCTCCTCCAGTCGACCAGAAAGAGCAAGGCACAAGCAGAGTCAGACATCAGACACCAAGCCGCAGTTCAGCCGGGTCGTGCACGGGAGTCGCTCCAGTTTTGCTTCTCGCTTTTGACAGGTGTCCGTTTTCATGCGGCAGGCAAAACCATGAGAGCTGCATGCAAGGCATGGTCTATGATGCAACGATGAAGCTGACATGCTGTGATGGATCGTCAAATGCCGAACAGAGCGGCGAGCTCCTGACCGTAGGTTGCCCAAAGCCTTGGCACACTGCTACCACCCCCATACAAGATCTTCATATCGAAGTCCTTCTTCTTGAACTCAACCTTCGACTCAACTAATCAGCCAGAAGCTCTTCTGGGAGCAAAAATCCGCTTTGCCTGGCAAACAAAGTCGCGACCTGCCTGCTGGCAAGCCCCAATGAGGGATCTGATCAACCGGCAGGCCTGCAGTTCGGCCTCCCTGATTCTGGCTGCTGGGGTTCAAGACTTTAATGCCACCTCGATGTCCGTCGGGGGGTTTCAGTGGGCTTCTTCTGAATCGAACCGCCTCGAACTGGGCAAGGCTCATCATCTCACGTACGATGCACAGTGGCACCGATGCACGGGAATGCCAGAGGACAGTACAGGCCGGGCTATCCGTCAACTCCCGCATCGGATGACGTTCGAATCTTGTCGACCTTCCTGCCTCACGATCTATGCTGCTTCCCAGGAGCTGACATGTATTGGGATTGTATAGGGGCAGTCTTACACCATCGTCGTACCGAAGAGAGGGCAGTCTAGCGGCTAGGGCTTTGCTTTCCACTGATACTGTGCCCGCATCCTCCCTATGCCTATCTTACAGAAAGACCCCGTCCCCGTAGGAATCGAAAATGTACAGCCAACTCTTTGGGCAGGCTGTGAAGCTCACATCTTGGCATGAGTGGGGAGCGTTTTTGTAGACAGTACAAAAACCCAGTCGCTTGAACAGCAGTTCGTCATTAGATCTCCGCGGATGAAGGACGCCAAAGGTTTCGGCTCTACATCCAGACATCCCCGTCATTAATTTACCTCTTAAAATCCAGCAACGCCTTCAAGAAAAGCAGGCGTCCCCCGCTTCCGGTATGCCTTATTTATATCTATGTGTTGGGATGTGGCCGCTTTAGTGAGGAACCTGTCTATCTGTCGAGCGCGGTGGCCAGACGGGCGGGTGGCAGGCCACTCAGGCCACTCACACCATGTGCATGATGTTCACAATGCCAGTGCAGCAATACCGGCAGGGATCCGGGGCAGAGTGCTGAGCACACCGGGTCTACTGCTCGCAGGGCTTGAAGGGAGAATGCAAACAAACTGGTGACCTGCCTGTGGCCAAGCCCCGCATGAGGGACCTGCTCAACCAGCAGCGAGCCCAGAGATCAGAGCCTTTGCTTCCGACGAAGTTCGGAAGTGTTGAACTGTACCGGCTAAAACCCAAGGACCTGAGCTTTAGCAAACATCGCCATGTACAACCGTGGCACGTCGTTTCTTCGACCCAAGGCTCTCCGCGAATTCCGGCAATGCCGGCACCTGAACCGTGGCTGCTTCCGAACTTCTGCCGTGCGATCTTCTTGGAAGGTAAAGGACGCGGTGCAAGCAGGCAAGCTGCGTCGTGAAGGAAAAGCATTGCGTCCTGGTCTCAACAGGCCCCGGCAAGGCACGGCTGGATCATATCGCAGCCTGGCCCAGCCCTTTCGACGCAGGGCGCTGGGGACGGGATGAGCTGGAGGGCTGCCAGGAGAACATGCAGACCTTGCGGGGTCACACTGCCTTTCGCGCCGAAAGACCTGCAGGGACGGGCGACACTCGCTCCATTTCTAAGCAACCACGCGGGTGGTCAGGCCCTACATACATAATTACATGGCAGACGCAGCTCCTCATGGTGTTGGCGAGTCCCCCCTCGACCAATACCTTATATACTGGGGAGCAACGAGGACGGGAAATGCATTGCATAGTGGTTTGCAAGGTTCTATGTTTTCTTTGCGGAGGCTTCGGTTTGGGTTCTGAGGCTTTCATGGCTACAGCATTAGCAACGCCCAAGCAGGATGAAGTTCAACTGCACGCTGCCGGGGAAAGTAAGTGCACAGTAACACAGTACGATGCCGGGCTTAGCCAAGCAACCGGGAGATCTTCTGACATGCCGCTATTGCTGGGGCGAGGGGGCAATATCTTCAGGCTTTTGTGTCGACTGGCCAACTTCCCAAATCGTCGGAGAACACTGTGATGGACACTCGCACAGGAAGAAGGCTACAAGACTGACAGGTTAGAGGCTCTTCTCTGTGCATGGGCCAAGCAGCCTCCATACCGAGACTATAAAACCGCCGCGAAATACATCTTCAAGCGCCAGGCGTTGAGCTGTCAGACCCGACCTGCCATGCCTTGGCTAGGGGATTCTTTTCTCCTTTGCCCTGCTGCGGTCCCTTCAAAGTATCCTGATCTGCGGGCCGCAGGCCACTCCTGGTACAGCAACGGCCGAGAGGGCGCTCTGACCAAGCACGCGGAACACTGCGCAGATTCACGATACCACGGCTAGAAGTTGAATCAAACGTGACTGTTTGGAGGCTCCAAACTAGTCACGGTAAGATCCCTCTCGTGGCAACGGCGAGTCGTCATTCTGGCCACTTCGCTAACCCGGGGAGAAGGTGCTACTTTGCATGGAGTTGTGGCTTCCTCTCAGCAAACCCCGGCACAGCACGGCTGGATCATCCCACACGGGTTTTGGGTCCCCGGCATGATCCGGCATGAGTTGGAGAGAGATGCCAGGAGATCATGTAGACCTTGCGGGGTCACACTGCCTTTCGTGCCTTCAAACTTGCAGGCCAAGGCCACACTAAGCAATCACCAGGGTGGTCAAGCCCTATGCACCTGCAAGACAGACCTAGCTTACAGGGCTGTTGCAGTGAGGGCCTATGGTTATCAAGTCTTTGCACGAGTCACTGAACACTCTGCAAAGTCACACGTAACAGGAGGAACAAATCCTGAGGCGCGACCATTCTCCGGAGATCCGGGGCACGGCCATGACTCCATGACGTCGCAAAGTGGTGAGACGAAGAGTGGACCAGCTCCGCCCAGACAAATCGACGACCAGAAAGAGTAAGGCCCAGTAAGGCACAAGCAGAGCCTTCAAGCGGGACTTCGAAGCAGCAGCCCTGCCGCTAAGCCGCAGTTCAGCTGGGTCGTGTGCCGGAGTCGCTCCAGTCTTGCGGCTCGCTTTTGACAGGTGCTCATCTTTATGAAAGACCCATATTGTGGCAACTTGTGCCGAATCCCGACACGAGTCTTCTGAGCATCACAGAGAGGCAAGCCGCAAGGGCAAGCAGGGTTTTAGGCCGTAAGGTTTTGGTGGTTAGGGCTACCAGGGATTTGGGGTCCAAACCCCGAATTCGTTGATTTGGGAAGCAACCGCTCTTTGTCGAAGAGCGCCACTGTCTTGATCAGAACTGTTACGCCCCACGTGTGCACTGCGTTCTGGAGCTTTCGGGTTACATTGGCCATGCCTTTAAGTCTTTCGCGGAGATGTGGTGAAGTGTCAAGTCCCAAGCGAGTTCTGAAAAGCATTATCGCATCTCTGGCAACATGCAACATCCGACTGCTCCATTGCCAGCACGCGGTATGCGAGGGTGGAGGCTTGGACATCTACGCGGGTAATTACGTTGGAAATTGTACCTGGAGCTGCTCAATTGTGACGTGCACCGGTGCCCTCATTTTACCTCGGCTTGAGCGAACGTTGCCATGTTGGAGACGCGCATTGGCCACAATGGCACATCGTTTGTGTCGGCCAAAGACACGGCCCTCCCAGTGGGTGCCCGCGGATCAACAGCGGCTGCCTCCAGACTGCTTCTGCTGTTTGATCTCCTCGGAAGGCAAATAATCTCGTGGCAGCAGACAACCTGCTGCTTGAAGGCAAGAGGAGAAGGTAGGGTCAGGCCTCGAAAGGCACTTCCTGCCAAGGCAGGCAACAGGAAGAAACAGGTGCGACCGTCGACTTGCCCGTCCGTGATGCCAGACTGCACCAACTTCTGACAGTGTGGACACTCGTAGGTGCGCAGTGTGTTCACAACTTTGCCGTCTCGGACAGTAAATTGGTGTCCGCAAGGATGGCTCTCATCTGCAACCCTGCTTTCTGACGTTTTTCGCACATCAACGCGTCCGTCTCGCACGTTAGAGCGCGCGATGGCTTTGCATTGTGGGCATGCGTATGTAAACAAGTGAGCATCGGTATTTTGGCTAGGCTGGCTAGTGCAAGCACTGCAGAGGTGGGTGATTGTCTTGCCGTCGTTTGCGGCGTAGCAGGTACCGCATCGCGCGCATACAGCACGTCTTTGTTTTTTTCTTGCTTGTATTTCAGCCCAACATGCATCGACTGCTATTTGTGCGCGACGTTTTCGTTGTTTTTCTTGGTGTTTCTTCTGCCATCTGTTGGCTGTCACACGCAGGCTACGTGAATTTTTACAGTGTCTGCAAGCGTTACAAATTCTGTCTCGCTGCTGCTTCCAAGCGTTTTTTGTGAAGCATCGTTCCGGCAACCATGCAGCGCACGTGCAGCACTGGTTGGCTAGACACATGTTACATGTGCGAGCCCAGCTATGAAAGTTGGCAATGTGGCCTGGAAAACACTCTGTCGCTCGCCACTGCAGGCACCGACTGCAACGCGTTGGTGTGCCGCGCTCACGGTAAGTGCGTGTGCACTCCTTGCAAACAGCCACATTCTCAGGCTGCTTCTTCTGCGCCTCACTGAGATCGCTCATCCGTCGTGCTGCCTTGCACTCGCTGCAGGTCTTGACCTTGCCGTAGGTTGCCAGGATGGTTGGCCAATCCAGGCGTTCCCCGCGCAAGTGCCGCAGAAGATACTCGCGAAAGCTGTGGTCGCCGTGTTGGAATGGTTCAGCTGAGAAGGCGCGCATGATCAAAAGATCGGAGCGCTCGACAACGCGTGTTACCGCTATGTATGCGCCGTTAGTGGGTTGCTTTTCCGGTCTAGGACCAAGTCTGCGATGACACCTGCTGTCAAAGTCTGACCTTGAGCTTGATGCGCCGTCATTGCGAATGCCGGCGGGAGCGGAAGTTGTTTCCGAGAGATTTTCAACATCGGTTTTTTTCCTTTACGCTTTCGGTCCAAGTACCAGATCTTGCTGTAAGGTGCGACGGGATAAACTCCGGGCTTGAGTCCTTTGAAGTGCCAACGCCCACTCGGGAAATGTACGTAAACCACTTCTGGCAGTTCGTTCCAGACCGTCGTGGCCTCATTTATGCGTTCGGGCCGTTGACTCGCTTGTTTCCAACTGACGATCTTACCTCTGCGACCTTTCAGCAGCAGACGCTTCCGGTTGATGTGCTCTGTCAAATAGACAGGCATGCCTTTGCAAAGCGGGAGGACACCACACAAGTCGCCGCGTTCCCGATCGTGGCGTTGGAGCCAAGCCAACTTTTCCGTAGCCAGTTCTGCTTTTTCGTGCAAGACGGCCGCGCATGCTTTGTCTTGTGCGATTATACAGTGACGGTCCTGTTTGGCTGCCTCAGCATAGGCTTCCGCGCGCACCTTCAGTGCATGGCACTTCCGCACGTTCGTGGGGAAAATGGCTGCCGCCGTTGCGAAAGGCTGCCTGTACCGCACATCTGCGGGCCCTTCCGCAACGAGCTTTCGGGACAGCCTCTCGCGCTGGCATTCCTGACATTCGTCGCGCAGGATGCGCTCTGGAGACGCGCGTCGCTGGAACAAAGCTCGACATGCTGCATTTCCACACGTGACGTTGTCTCGTAGCCAGCTACCAGGCACTGTAGTGGGAGCACCATGCAGAAATGCGTGGTTGTTGTTGCTCAGCCTAGAGTACCGCAACTCCCGCTGCAGGTCTTGTAGCCATTCGTCTGGTGCGCTCCACTTGGATCAGTTCCGTCATTCCTTGAAAGCCGACCTGGGCACCGCCCCAAAGCAGCTCTTGTCCGTGCGCAACTGCTGGCTTGTTTCGCGCATACTTGCTCATGAGCCACTCATGCGGGACACCTGCCACAAAATGCCCTTCGGGAGGTTCTAATTGCCAGAGATCTCCTAGGATTATGACGTTCAGCCCACCGAAAGGTTTGGCATGAGCCTCGCCGGGAAGTCGCTTGAATGTGCTGCTGTTCCGCATCAATGTGCGACATGCGCGTTCTACGGCGGCCAGTAATTCGAGGCTCACCATGCTAATCTCATCGATGATGAGCCATCGCACCTGCAAGAGTCTGTTTTGCATGGTCAAAACCTTAAAAAAAAAAAAAACCTTTGTCTCGTTGCTAGTCCTCTTGCTTGTATCGCCAAAGGAAAGCCCGAACACGTGATGCAAAGTGTCTCCATCAAGCATGTCGGCTGTCACAGCTTGCAAGGCTGCACATTGAAAATGAATGCCCGCTTCCCACTGAAGCAAGCCTTGGAAGAGTTCATCGCGGAGTATGTTGATTGCGTGTGTTTTTCCTGTGCCTGGCCCCCCGTGCAGCATCCAGCGAAGGGGTTCCTCGTCTGTTTTGAAGCAACCGCTGTACGCTTCTCCTGTCTGCATTTCGCGCTTGACACGGTTCGCGACTCGTTCAATGAAGGCATGTTGTTCGTCGTTGCAGATACGGCGGCCTGCTTCATTTCTGCGATTTGGCAACTCTCTCAGCCAAGCATCAATTTCGTCCAGGGTTTTTTGAATGCGTCCTGGCATCATGCCTGCCTCTGTTGGGTTGCGAACACCCCCTAGCAGATGTGCTTTCTCTTTGTCGTCTGCTCGTGCTTCGGTGAGAATAACTCTCGTGTCGATGTTTGTTTCTTGTGGCAGACCCTCTCTTGTCACGTCCGGCTCGCGCGCGTGCGCTTGCCATGTGGCCTCTATGTCCTCATATTCGTCTTGCCCTTCCATGGTCTCTCTCGTCTTCAAACACTGGCACAAGTTGGCAGCGTCCACATGCACCCGCGTGTCGTCCTCGCCTTCATTGTCACTGTTCTCGATGTCGGCGGCTAAGGAACGCACGCGGTAAACGGAGAGAAAGTTGCTCACGTGCTTCTTAGTTTCTTCACACGCTATTTGCTGCAGCCAGGTTCGAAAGGTTGCCTCCCAAGTCACGTGAGCGTCCCGAAAATCGTGGATGCTGATGACGTCGTCATCTGCATAGGAAGGCATGCCAGTCCAGGGGCGAAAGTAAACGAGACACAGGACAGAGTTGCTTTCGTGCTCTTCTTGTTGATACCTCGGTATTGGGCAATGTCCGAAAGTCGGACATCGAGGCCGGCGACGCCCGCGCAGGAGCCAAGCAGAGCGGACCCGTGCATTTTCGGAGCAGTCCTCGAATGCGAGGTACCCCTGCGGAAGCTCCGTCCGAAGCTTTGTATCCACGCCTGGAATGAGCCGGACTGCGCTTGGTGCTTCCGGAGCATTGGCAGCTTTCAGCTTCTGCTCGCCCTTTTCTGTCAAGATTACATCCCATGCTTCGGCACGACTCTCTTGCCATTCGCGCCAGTTTCGCGGCACTCTGGTTGGCACGACTTCCCAATATAGCAGGAATTCGTAAGCCGAGAGGAACCAACACGGACTGTCTCGACGTCGTCGAGCGTAAAATTCGGCGACGTTGCACTGCGCTACTTGCCTTTGTTTGCACGCGGTTCCGCGGGTACCGAGGGTCGTGGCCGTCACTCGCTGTGCTCTCTCTGTCTCTGCTTTAGCCGCTAAGTCTGTGTAACGCAGGAGATCGTGACCGGGAAAGGAGACGTACTGAGTAGTGGTAATTCGTTCGGCCGAAGCTGGATCTTCGGTTGCATAGCAGCGCAGATTCGAGCACTCTGCGTGACCACGGACGATGCCCTTGCAGTATGCATCGGACATGAATCGCGTCATGTGCCAGACCTCGTGTTTGTGTTTGCTGTGCTACAGCTGCGTGGCTTTTTTGCAATTCCTTGAGTTCTAAAAAAGCCATGGGTTGAGTTTTAGCGCAGTAGTCGCAACTGTAGCCTGTCTGTGCATCTTGGGCTCGTTGTGCTGCAAACAAGACTTGCTTCGTTAAGCTTCTGTCCGCACAAGCATCCTGGCAAGTGCTGCAAGCAAAAGGCAGGCGATATGGCAATTGCACGTCAGAATTACAGCGTGCTCCGACCAGGAGAGCTGGATGTGTGGCATTTAGGTATTCGTGATCACGCGGACCGTGCAGCATGCACAAGCAGTTCTTGCGTCCGCTAGCAGGCAGGTCGAATTTCTGCAGGGCACATGGGCACAGTACACACGGCTGCTCGCAGAGTTGAGATGTTTTTGGATACCCATGTTTGCAGATCATGCAGCCATCAGCCTTTAAGCAGCCTGGTTGTGGCATGCGTATGCCTGTTTCAGGGTTTACGTGATGCACATGATGCTGCTTCAGAGTCTGTAAACAGAAAACGTCATGGTCCAGGTATGCTTACAGGAGAATGGCAAAGCATGACGCCCGGCATGCTGGAAGATGCAGCATGCGAAATCGTCAAAGCGCTGAGTGGAACGTACCGCACACCGGAGGGCCGTTCCTTGCCGGTGAAAGGCAACCTGAACTCGGTGCGGTACGTGCCGAATCTGTCGGCAACCGCGCAGCGAATCCTGACGAACCTAAGTCACACCGCGCGACAAGTTCCCGGAACCCAGGAAGCACGGCGAAGCATGCGCTTTGAAATCCAAGCCATGCGCGTCCGCTACGGAACGCCAATCTTTGTAACCGTCACACCCGACGAGGCCCATTCACTTCTCTATGTGCGGATGTCAAGGCACCGGCACAGCGATCCAATTCGATGCCCTGCGCAGCACGTGAACGGGCGAGCAGGAGATAGGCGATGGCCGAACCTGGACGCGGACTTGAGCTGGAACTGCCCGATAGAACTTTTTCACGAGCGACGAGCCACGTGGGAAGAGAGGCGCCGCATTTTGGCGCGCGATGCATTAGCGACCGTACACGGCTTCCGTGCCACGATGCTCTTAATCCTGAAGCACCTCTTCGGCATGAATGTGTGCCTCCAATGCCCTTTCTGCAACTGCGGCAGCCAGCCGTGTCAAGACAGGCAAGGTAGCAATGCGACATGTGAAGGCGGCGTGTTTGGGCGCTGCGACGCCGCATATATTGCCATCGAATTCCAGAAGTCTAGCGGATCGCCGCACGGGCATATGCAGCTGTTCGTACAATGCATACACCAGCACGAAAATCTCGCTGAGATCTTTCGTTTCGCAGAAGCACGCCTAGTGGCACTCCGTGCAGATTATTTGCGGTACGAAACACATGTACGCCGCAGCTTCTACGGACAGCCCCCAGAGCGAACCGTGGAGGCGTTGCAGTCGGCAGAAGCAGCATGGCCGGAGTACGCCGGCATTGCCGATCTAGTTAGTCGACCAACCTACCAGCGTGGTATTATGGTGGCGGAATCCTCATCGGAAGAGGCAGCCTGAGGCAGCTGGGCGACTTGCACCGGCGTGTCATATGCGTAGACAGATCGAGACAGATTGACAGCCGAGCGAAACATCACGTTCCATGCCGTGTAGCCGAACGTCCAGTCCCTGTTGAGTTGGCTTTCGACCCGCTGTGCCATCAATCGGGTCCAGTCCTTCAGGGTTACGCGCGGCGCGGAGGCTGTTCTTCGCCAGCGCTTGTCTTTGTATTGGCCGTAGTCTGGTGGGTCTGGCATAGCTGTGCAGTACTTAAACAGGAAGCGAAAGCCACTCCGAAGTACCACGGTGCGAACTGGTCCATGGGTGATCTGGAAGACAGAACTTGTTTTTCCGGCAATGGCCCATCCTCTTGCTCGCTTTCTACGTCACAGCAATCTTCTTCTGCCAGCGTGTCTAGCTTGGCCTCGTCCGCTAGTGCACGCAGAGCCGCGTGCTGTTGTGCTTCGCCATCCAGTACGTCGCTGCCGTTTTTTTCTAAAACCACTCCGTTCGGTCGTTGCAAACCCATTTCCGTGATGGCCTCCTCTACTGTGTCCGGCTCGGCTATAGGAGCAGGGCTTTTTTGCTTGTAGATGAGTTCCGTGGCTTCGTCGCTCTCGAGCAAGGCAACAACTTCTGGTGGCACGTCGTCTTCCGGCAGTACGCTGTTTGCGCGCCTCATCATTGCTTCGAGGTCTACGTGCTTGTAGGCAGGATGCTTTCTGCGGACGGCATGTTCTATTAGCAGAATGACGACTCGGCGACGTACACGGGCTTGATGGATGAGATGTTTGACGTCATCGGCATGGACATCTTTATCCCGACTTTTCAGTATCACTGCCACGTACTTGCTGAGGTCGCTGCCTGATCTCGGCAGCGGATTGGCTCCGTTATCTGACACCGATTCTTCCAGGCTTTGAAACTCGTTGAGTAGCCACTCCCAATCGAGAAGAAACGTTGTCGCGCAGCCTCGAGCTCCTTGGCGAAAGCGTTGCATGTGCGCACGCTCGTCCAGTGTTCTGAAGGAACGGTTTTTCTTGTCCAAGCAGAAGCAGATCATGCTGGTCATGCAAGGACTGGCACATATCAGTTCTAGCATTGTGACATTCTCGCAATACAGCTCCCGCGGTGCGTAATAAACGACGAGATCATTGGCAAGGGCTTTCGCCGGCAAGCGTTGCGTTTTTGTGGCACTGTGGCAATACGTGCATACCGGAATCCAACAATCTGAACAAGCGTGTTCTTCGGGACAGTGGTGCCTGCAGTACTTGTCCCCCGGGCAGCAAATTACATCGATGGGTCCGTTGTGAAATTCTAATTTGCAGCTCCAATCCTGTAATTCATTCAGCATGTCTTGTTCGCGTGCAGACATCGGTTTCTCTGTTCCGCTGCGTATGTAGTTGGCTTCGTAAGCTGCACTTCCCAGCAGCGCTTCGGTGTCTCTTGCTGTGAGGCCGCAGAACATGACTTCTCCCTGCTCGTCCGGCTTCAATGCTTGATAGAATTTGACTTCGGAATGTGCGTACGGAATGTAGATGTAACGGCAGGCACAAAGAAAGCAGACGGCAGTCGTCGGCGCGTTTCCGTCTTCCAGAGCGGTAGCATATTGCGCTAGGCATCGGCGATCGATAGTTGTGCAGGCTAGTGGTGCTGCATGTTGGCTTTTCCAGTTCAATGCTGCTTTATAGGCGTCCCAAACCAGGGAATTGGCACTGCAGGCGGGCGTCATCGATGACTTTGCAGGTGCCCGGCGTCCAGGAAGGTCTCGGGCTCGCAGACTGTCCGCCAAAGGTTGCAAACGGTCTTTATGGCGCAGGACGACGTGATCCGGCAAGTCTTCTGCGTTCTCACTGGTCCACTGGCAGTCTTTGAATGCACAGTGAGTCCATGGAACACGTTTTGCGGCTTGCTCGTTGCTGCAGTGTTGCTTGTCTGCGGGTAAAGTGGGCCAGTCCGACAGCAGATCCTGGAGTTGCTGTATCAGCTTGTCCTCTTGGGCTCGTGGGTCCCGTGTCGTACTGCTATCACAAGTACGCACCACGAATTGATCTTCCTCCATGTCGCTTGCTACGGTGTCGTCGTCGCGGAGCTGTTGTGGATTGACGTCCTTTGTGCGGGGTGCTTGTTTGCCACGATATCGGCATCGCTTCGGAACGGTTACTTCTCGATCTTCCTGCGATCCCGTGGGAGTGCTTTCACGCAGGCGTTTGCGCACTGCGCCCTTTTTCTCTTGCGGCTGCTTGCACTGCTGTCTTGCTCGTGTGGACATGGTCCGTTGCTTCGGCAGTGCATTTACATTTTGGGCTCCTTGCAGGCTCTCGGTGGGGCTCCTGCTTGTTGCAGCGCCAGTCTGCGAGAGTCCGTCTACTGTCGGTCCGCCAAGACGGCGGGGACCGCCTTGTGTGTATGTAAAGAGAAAACGTCGGAAGGATGCTGCTAGTCTTTCCTGTGCACTGACACCCGAATCAGAGTAACAAACGGTAGCTTGCAGTTTGGTCAGGAGCACCTTACCCAAGGTCTTGTTGTCCGTCCAAGCTCCTCGAATATCTTGAACGTCTGCAATTGAGACGACGAGCGTGCTTTTTCGCCCCCGCAAAAAAGCTTGCAAACAAGCTTGGAGTGTAGCTTCCGTGCAATTGATCGCGTGTGCTTGCTGTTCGGGATCGTCATTACCGGCCTTGTCGCCATTGGGAAGACCCTGCCCTTCTTTCTTTTCGGGGACTTGCACTGGCGGCTTTTTTGAGGAATCGGTGCTGCATCCATCGGCGGTCGTGCCAGTTGTCGCCGTGCTGATAGAGGGTTCCATATCGCGGCGTGACCGTAGATCAGCAGCGGGCGTCGCTGATGGCGCTTTGGCTTCCGCGCAGGCGCTGCCGCTGCTGCTCGTTGCCGCTTCTGCATCTCGCGCGTGGGGCTGCGGTCCCACGCTGCCTTCACTTCAAGGGCGCCCACAACTCGTACCTCGCTCACGTCGCCCGTCAGTTGAGCACACAGGCCACACCGTCGACAAGCACTCCACGTCGCAATCGGCGGAGCAAGCAGAGCGCCGCTGCGTTTGAGAGAGAGTTCCAGCTGTTCGCGGCATCAGCATGCACAGACATGCCCACAACATCCAAGCTTGCTCAGCTCGGTCTACTGATTTCCTATGACCTTGACAGCAGACCAGGCCACGCGACGGATGGGATGAATCGAATCTCCGAAACGGCATGGATGGTGGCGGCACAGACAGGAACCTGCAAGTGTGGCAGCGACTTGGCCAGCCGTTTGTCGACAATGGGCGCTCGACAAAGCTCCCTGTCGACACCGGTCCCAGCACGAAGCAGGCGCGCAGAAGTGCTGTTGCACAGAGCCGGTGGCATCCGCCGTAGCCGAATTCCCTGAACCGTTGAAGATGCAACCCTGCCTGAAGCCCAGGAACTATGCCTCAAACCGTCTTTCAAGACTCCCTCTCAGGAAACACACCCAATATCACTACACGCACACTTTGCGGTGTTCGCAGATCCCGGGATTCCAGGGCTCGAAGAAAAAGGGATGTATCCGCGACTTCCAGGTCTAGGGCCTTGTAGAGTGTAGAGACGAACCGCAGAACCCGCTTCCTGAGCGAGAGAGAGCAGGCAGAGAGTGGATGGGACCCATCTTCTTGCAGAGGCGCCTCATCTGGAAAGACAGATCCCGAGCAGGAGCCTGGATTTTGAGGAGCTCCCTCTTCTCCTAAGCCTCCCGGCACAGCAAGGGCCTCTGAAGCTTACCTCCGCGCACCGGCCGTTTGCACCGAAGCTCCGGCAGGGCTTATCCTGGAACGAATGTAAGGTTGCGGTCGGCCTTCGCCGATGGGCGCAATCTGGGGCTGATTCCGGACACCGGCGACACAGACTCAGAGACTTCCGTTTTCGTCCGAATGCCGTGCAGCCTTCAGCTTCCTTAAGTCTTGAAGTGGCATCCGCTCAAACAGGAACGACGGACTTCGCTGACGCACGCAGGATTGCGATGGAGGCAGTAGTTCCGTCTGGGTGGCTGCTGCTGCGGTACCCGTGCGGCTACAGCGGCTACAGGCGATTTCCGACTCTAGCAGAGAACCCTGAGCTTAACCACGGATGCATCGGGCGATCGTGTATAGAAAGAGACCCTATGCTCGCATAGGGCTTAGGGCTAGGGCGGCTAGGGGTGGATGTTGCCTCGTGGGCTGGCAGCCATGAGCGGACCCAGTGATCTGCTCTCATGTCCTATGTATGACAATGTATGATGCTCTCTGGGAGCCAGCCGCTGGTCGAGCAGAGGTCCCATGATCGCCAGCAGCATCATCTCAGAGCCTGAACCGAATCGGCCACAAGCTCTCAACTCCAACTAGCTGCAACTAGCCGGCTCCCTGCATCTCTGCCGGTAGTAGGAAGAAAGGAAAGTCACAAGCGAGATGCCGGCTACAACCGTGACAGTCTTGCAAAGAACACCAGCACCAGCCGCGGTACTAATGACCGTCCTATATCCATCGTTCAGCGCAACAGCTGTCATTGATATCATAAATGCCACGGAAAGCAACAGCCCAAGCTCTTCATACTGTAACTGCTCAAAGTCGACAGCGTTCTCAACAAGAGTGCAAGTAAGAGTCATAGGAATGATTCTGCCGTCGTTTCGACAACGAAAGAGTGCGACACCATGCTGCGGCGGGAGCGGTTCGAATCATTTGGGGGCAGGTTCGGGGCAAGGGTTTCCCAGTTTCGGGCCGGCAGGTTCTCCCACGACAGACCAAAACCTCCAAACACCCAAAAATTGGGACAATGCCTCCAAAAACTGGCTGCTGGGAGCCACATGGTCGTTTTGGCCAGCCTCAATGCTCGATGTTTGATCCCGGCTCGGCCATGCTCGGCCGTCCCCACCCCACTCCCCCCACTTCCTCTGGTTGGCCGCCCTTTGTGGCGTGGTTCTGATGCCTTCCTGTGGTGTGGTTCTCCCGTCCCCCCTGTGGCGTGGTGCGGTTCGGAGTTTTGGTCTGCTTGGAGTGGCTGCCTCCTGCCCCTGCGGTGTGGTGTGGTTTGCAGTTTGGGTTTTTTGAGGTGTTTGGCATCATCATTATTATCATCATCGTCATCAGCGATTTGGGGTTTGGGTCAGTGATTTGGGGTTTGGGTCTGCTTGGGGGTTCCTGCAGTCAGCCCCAGTGGTGCGGTATATGCGTTTGCTTGGGGGTTGGTGTCGTCAGGAATCGGGCCTGTCAGGAACGCGATCCTCGTGACGGTTGCATTTTCAATACCCTCATGTCGAGTCGTGGTTGGAAAGCGTCCACTGAAACAAGGATCGGGTGTGTTTGGGACGAGATTCTCGCGACAGTTGGGGGCGGTGGGGGGATACCACTGGGGGCCGGCGAACCGAGAACCGGGATCATATTCCTGATGAGCCCCTCTTCATACTGAAACTGAAACTTCAACCTCACCGTCACCACAACCTCGCCTGGACGAAACTAGTCAAGCATCGTACTCAAGTTCTCATGGCTTGTGATCAAGGCCTGCCTTTCAGAAGGTCTGGGCGTCCCTAACGAGGCACTTCCCGGCTTGCAAGGGCGACTCCTGCGCGGGCTGACCAGGTCGAATCGGAGATTGCGATGCTTCAACATCGGGAGTGTAAGTATGGACTTGGAGCGAACTTCGTGCTTTCATCAGTTGGCATAGAGAAGCTCGAAATCTGAGTCTTCCTAAGCAGCGCAGTTTCACCCCATCTACGGCAGCAATGCATTGCAAAGCTTGAGCTTGTGGCATGGATGCGAAGGTTTCTGCAGATCCTCCCTAAACCCTTAACCCTTAACCCTAAACCCTGAACCCTAAACCTCTCAATGTCTCCAACAGGTCTCCTCCAGGGACCCTCGGCTTGCGAGTCCCATGCTGCCGGGCTACGCCCGCAAGCTGTGCAGCTTCATCATCTGCTACAAACGTCAACGGGGCGCCCGAAACAACTTCACAGGCCTTTGCTACGTAGTCAATCTCGATAGACCTACAAAGTTTAAGTAGAACTTTCTAGATCTGCACTCCGATGAAAAGAACCTGGACTGGTCAGAAGACAACAAATGGCCGCAGCATGCCGCATCCCTCACCCCTCTTCACAAATTGTACCAGGAATAAAGGCGCTCAGCTTCAGCTTCAACAATCCCCGTCTCACTCAGTGTTTCTGTAGTGGATTTCTACGCGTGGGACAGCCTATCAAGGGTACGAGAGGAGACGACAACTTCGAAGACTGGAGAATACCCCGGTGCAACAGCAGAGCGTTCTCTGGGTGTCTGCAACATATCGACGATGTGTTCAAGTATGCATGTGTCGCCGTCCCGCGAACGGAATGTTTGGATAGACGAAGATGTATTTGGAGAATGATCGAACTGACTCAATGCAAACGTTCATTGACATGAGGCGTACAAGAGCAAACGCCCTCAGAAACAAAAGAAGCTTTACCTGATCGACTGGAAAATGACTTAAAGATTGTGCTTCAAAGTTGCGAACTTCTGCAGCCAAGTTCAGCTTGAGGAGTTCACGGCAGCTCAGTGTCCAGTCCCAAGAACGTTTTCCTAGATCCACCAAGCAGTATAACAGGCCTTAGACCCTATGAACAATGCACACGTACAACTACAAGTGCTTCTCTTGGCTGAGTGAGATGAATCGGTTTGGCATTCTCGCAGTCGGACAATCCAGCTCAAAATTTATAGTAAAATCGGGAGCTGTTCGCCTAACCGCGGACCCCAAACACAAGTGCAGATCAGAGCACCTGACTTTTCCGTGCCGCCTCATCGAGTTGCTTGTGGGCATTTGCGGGCTTAGATAGTCACTGCCGGACCTTTCAGAACTCAAACCTCAGACCAACGGCTAAGCTGCGACGAAGCGAGAGGCCGGCGCAAAGTCGGCTGGACTGTATGAACGCGACTGTTCCGGACCCCGATTTGCAAATCTTGCATGCAGAGGACCGCCCCGCGCAACAAGACAAAGACACCGGCTGCCGGAGACAGCCCCGCAATCCTGCACAGACACCTCCTGTCAGAAGAGGGCTTTCGTGAAGGACTCGAGCGAGTTTTCTGCAGTTTGAGTGGTCGGGGCTCAGGAGCTTCGACTCAAGCACGAGGCACGGGCCGTGGAGTCTTTCAAGATGCTGAGCGTGACTTGCTGTGGCACACAGGCTTCGGGCAATTGCAGGACATCCGCACTCCTCAAAAGCCTAGCTGGCTGGAAGTGCTGCTGATGGGAATCGCGAAGCCCTTACATCCCAGTCCCGCAGCAGTGCCATTGAAAATCCGCAGGTGCCCCAGGCGACAGGTGTTGGCCTGAATCCACATCTCGGTCCGGGCAAATCATGGGACCTAAAACTTAGACTTAACTACCGGAATCGGCCGTGATCCTTTCAGCTACGACATCGGCAAGTCTCAGACGCGAACGGCAGATCCTCCCCGTCGCCCCAATTCTTGTATCCGGGTGGAGGAAGTTGATGAGGGCTGGCGGCGCAAGGCTCCCAGCAGGAAGCAGGGATGCCTATCTGCATCGCACGGACAGTGGAGGCTGGAGAGAGCGGGAGAACTGGAACTCCTGCACCAACACCTCTGCAAGTTGGGTTCGAGGCTGTGACGGGGTCACTCTCACGCGACCCCCGACGGAACTGCTACACTACACCGGCACACCGGCACGGCTCCGCAAGCGATCCCGAGTCCGAGGAAGTGACCCTGCCAAGTCCAAAGAACCCTACGGCGGACATCAGCTTCAGCACGAGATGTAGTGATTTGGCGAAAGCCTCACGATGCAACAGAGCAGCATGCATCGAAAGCAGCGTCTCGCCCGAAATGGAGCCGCCGCGGAAGCTGACACGTGCACGCGGACTGTGCCAGGGTGCTGTGAAGATCCAGCTCCGACACTTGACCTGCAGCAGTTAGAGGTAGGAGGGTCCCCAATCCCTATAAAAACCATGGGTGTTATAGGGATTTCCTATGAAAATTAAGGGTGTAGCAGTCTTGAAAGCAAGGCAAAGGGCTCGGGATTGCTGGGGCCTCTCCACGTGGGACGGGCCCCAGTTCAACACTTCCGCTGCACGGAGGCTCAACCGCAGGCTATCACAGGCTGAGAACCTGGCAGCAGTGCTTACTCGACTCTGAACCGAATCTCTAAAAGCACTAATCTGGCGACTACTTCGTGCATCGGAAAAACAAAGAGCGAGTTGCCAGGGGTTCAATTCTTTGTGTGTGGGGGCTGAGGCCCTAAACCCTCACCCAACACCTACACTTTTCCTAAACCCTGAAACGCGCATCTGGCTCCTGCAGAGTGGCCTCGACGACAAGTTTCGGATTTTGCATTGGGGACTCAAGGCTTGTAGAGGAGCCGACAAACCTCGTGCAAGCTCAGGCACGTCCCTTCGCAGATAGAAGCCCAGTTCAAGAAGCCATGGCGACACGCGAGGGACGAGTCTTCACTGATGATTCGATCAAGATTTATTGGTTCGGGGCTCATCGTCCACGTTTCAGTGCTGCAGCTTGCAGCCTCAGTGCCAGAGGCCAGCATCTTTGCCTGCAACGGGGCCCTGCTCAACCGGGTCGCAAGATTTCAGAGATCAGGCTCCCTCGCTCCGACGCCGAAGGGTCACTTGGTAGCTACTTCGGAGCTTGGAGCCGCCCGCCACTTGTGATGCGCGCAAGTGCGTTGCATCGGTGCCGTCGTGCCTCGACCAGCAAACCAAATCCTGCACCATGTTAGAGACGCGCGGTGGCCAACATGGCACATCGTCTGTTTCGGTCAACGACACGGCCCTCCGAAAACTGTTGTTGCTGTCGGGTCCCCCCGGAAGGCAAAGGACCCCGTGACAGCACGCAAGCTGGCGACGGCAAAGCACTGCTTCATGGTCTCAGCAGGTCGCGGAACAACCTCCAGCCCCGCCCAATCCCTTTCGACGCAGGCCACGCCCGTGAAGCTGCATGCAGGAAATGATAGGAAATGGTGTATGCTGCAATGATGGAGCAGCATATGTGCTATGCTGGTCACGCAGCATAGCCAGGTGTCGACCGCAGGTGCCTACCGGGCATGAATTCGGGGACAGTGTCAATGCTGGCCGAAATGGGCACCCAACTCACGTCGTCAGGAAGAGGTGCAGCCTTGCTACATGAGCCGCTGCGTTTATTTAAGGCTTAGGCTCCATCTCTAAGACTCTAGGACTCTAGGCAGTCACTTGGCTGCCACACGGTCCTAACCGTCCCGGCAGCCCACAAGAGAGACGGCGCAGACTACAGCGTTACTAGCGGCGCCTCCCCGTCTGGACTTGGCAGGCCATGCAGAGGCTGTCATGAGCTACGCAGCTACGAGGCCGCGGTCACAGGCACAACATTGCCATCTCTACGCGCATCACAGAAGCAGGGCCGCCCCACTCTGCATGCAGCTCTGCCTTGCGGTTACTGATCCAGACCGCCAGAATAGGCTGCACGTAAAATCGACACCTCGAAAACACTCGTCCTACTGGCTTGCTTGCATAATCATTCCATTGCGACATGGCAGAGATGTGGCCGAAGCACTACAAGTTGCTTCTTTTTTCATTCTGTTGCTTGTGAGAGGCACCGTTTCATCACATTCAATGGTTTGCAAGTTTTGAACGGAAGCAGCTTAAGCTTATCGGAAATCCCAATGCTGCTGCAGCAGCGGGCCCGCAAGTCATAAGGTCTTTCCGAGAAGAGGGGACTGCAAGATCCACACAGCGACTGCCACTGGTACTGGCTGCTTCTTACTCCTGCTCCTGCTGCCGCCGCCATCACCTCCACGATCATACTAGCATGCTTACATTGACGCTGCTGCTAAGACAACTTGCCCATGATTTCACATTGATGCAAAACCCATAGTGCCAGCAGCAGCGGGACTGGTCGTAGTGGTGGCAGGGGCAAGATGATTGTTTTGGGATTGCAACGTGCAGTTTCTGATTATTTCCACGTTTTTTTTGCTTTGCCGTGCAGCTACCATGGCCTGGGCCTACTCAAACCTCAGAAAGCCTGCTGCTGCAGCCGCCGTGTTTCTGGCTCTGCCAGAGAACTCCCTGGATATGACCAGGTGACAATGCAGCCATCCGTGGAAAGAGCAGGCCAGTCGTGTGGCTCCACAGGTCGTATGCCCACATGCAGACCGGAATCCAAAGGTTGACTAGGACGCTTCGCAGGCAGTGAACGGTCGGACAGTTTGGGGAAGACTCTCCTGCTGCACAACTGCTTATTTGCTTGCATTTCTCTCAATCTAGCTTCAACCTGGACTCTTATAGTCTATATAGGCTCCGCCGTGCGTCATTGCAATCCCCAGGATGCACTGTCGGCAGATTTGTGCGCAACGCACGCATGCGGTGTTTCGAGCCGTGAACACAAGGCCGGCATAGTTCCGAGAAGCCAGCATGTGGTTGGCATTGAGGGCGCAGTGCCTGATCGGTGCAGTGGGCCAGCTCTATCCGGATATGCAAAGCCGACCCTCGTGTCGCCGCTGACCCGAACGACCACCGCAAGCGAACTGCCCAGAGCTCAGCTCGGGAAGTCCGCAGCGGCTCCTCGTGCTGGGCTCCGTCTCCGAGATAAGTGGGCTCTGGAACGAAGCAGCGCAACGGCTCGTCAGAGACTTGAGCCAGTGGGCCGCTCCGGCACTGCGAGCAGCAGCCACTTCCGCCGGGACGAGACGGTGGGCGGCCTGAGCCCTTAAATCTGGCCCGAGCATTGGGTTTGCGGCATCGCGACGGAGCCCGCTCGGAGGCGCGATCGCAACTGCCGCCTGCACCCGCATGGACTCGTAGTAAGCTCACGTCTGAATCGTAAAGGCATGACGGCAATCCACAGCACGGCTACTTGCAAGACTAGCATCTTGGTCAGCCTCAACATGGTTTAGACCATCAAGGTCTTGAGGCTGGTATGGCTGGTTCATGCCTAACGAAATCATTTCGGCGTGCAAGGCTTGCGAATGTACCCTCTGAAGAAGCCCTGGATAGGAAGATGCACTTGAAGATGGTTTAATATGCTACGTGGGCAACACACGTTGCATCGATTCCTCGAACCTCCAAGTCCTCACGCCGTCCCGTGGTAAAGGAAGTCTCAACTTCGGGCGGCTTGTCTCATCGACACAAAGTGTCTCGGGACTGTTCCGGGCTCAAGCTTTCCAACCTGCGGGACCACATAGGCATTTGTCATCAGCCATGGATGCGAGCTCGCGAGCAATGCCCATATCAAGCTGCACTAACATCACCGTAGAAACAGGCAAAGCCTTTGCTGCTAGCTCCCAGGTGCCTTGTCATGGCATGCGGCCAACCACAAGCACGCACACACGGCCACGCTTTCGCTCTACAGCTTTAGTCCGTTTGGCGAGAGTTGGTGGCAAAAGCGGGCAGAGCCGCTGGAGCTCCGTCTAAGTCTGGGCCTGTGTCTTTTTTATCCATGGTATCCTTCAGCCTCATGAGCCTCCGGACGAAGAGCTTTTCGAGCTTGTCGAAAGAGCCATTAACGGAAGAGTCGCCCTTCTTTATGAACTCATTTTCGAATCGCAGAAGCAGCCTCAATGCGTTTCGGCACTCTGCCAATCGCTATCTCCAAGAACGGGCAGAAACCCGCAGCCCTCGACGAGGCAGCGGCACCGCAGGGACGGGTGCAAGCCCAAAGAAGGACTCTCGAAAGCAAGCGTGAGTCGGCAGGCTTTCAGCTCAAGCAATCGCGGCGCAAGGGCACTTCTCTGGCGCACACTCAGCCCTCCCGAAAACTCATAGTCGGAGGAGCTCCCACGGCACACACCTCCTCCGCCGCCGCGCCCCGACGGACGGAGAGCCCTGCCAGGTGAGGAGAGTTAGATGTAGGTTTAGGTTTCAAAGTTTAAGCTGCCAGGCTCAAGCCAACAGCGTCCTTCAGCATCTTCGAGTGGTAGGAAGGAGCGGTGGTGGACAAAGAGTTTGTAAGGTTTAGGGTGCAAAACGCCCGCACTTGAGTGCTTGCACGGGCGCATGAAAGATCAGCTGCATTCGTTGGCGTCGGTTTGAGCATCCTACCAAGTTAGTTGTTAGTAGTTCGAAATTCACCGCCAGCTACCTTACGCCGGAGCCACATGCAGCTGCCGGCAGACTGGGCAGACGCGGGCATGAGTTTCGGCACTCTGCGAATCGCTATCTCCGAGAACGGGGCAGAAACCCGCAACCCTCGACGAGGCAGCTGCACCGAAGGGACGGGTGCGAGCCCAAAGAACAAGGACTCTCGAAAGCAAGCGTGAGTCGGCAGGCTTTCAGCTCAAGCAATCGGGGCGCAAGGGCACTTCTTTGGCGCACACTCAGCCCTCCCGAAAACTCATAGTCGGAGGAGCTCCCACGGCACACACCTCCTCCGCCGCCGCGCCCCGACGGACGGAGAGCCCTGCCAGGTGAGGAGAGTTAGATGTAGGTTTAGGTTTCAAAGTTTAAGCTGCCAGGCTCAAGCCAACAGCGTCCTTCAGCATCTTCGAGTGGTAGGAAGGAGCGGTGGTGGGTTAGGTTGGGGCTTTCCGTCTTCTCTTCTTAGAGAGCGAAGGTGACTCAGACAAGTTGCGGGGAGGCTGCTGATTAGGGCAGGGCGCTGCAATGCAGGTAACAACGATGCAGACTTCGGTCGCTCCACCCAAGAAGCTTGCAGATCCCCGGGTGTGGGACGACCGATCTTGCCTTTGTCGTCCTCGACATTAAGCAGCTCCGACTCATTATTCTACGTTGGGTCAAGGTGGGATTCAGGGTTTCGCTGAAGCTTTCGGAAACCGTTGCAACGGCCTGCAGCATCGGCCACGAAGGGTCAGGAAGATTTCAAAGCTCATGGTCCAAGCGGCTCCGAAATGCTCCTTGTCCCCTCAACGGAACTTCTCGGGTAAGGCCTTGCCCGATGCCTTCATTTCAAGGGCACCACAACTTGTACCTTGCCTCATGTCGACCTTGAAGGCGCAGGCCACACCGTCGACACGCACTCCAAGTCGCAATGGGCGGAGCAAGCAGAGCGCCGCTGCCCTTGAGATGGAGCTTGAGCTGTTTGCGGGATCAGATACAGCGCTTGCTCGTCGCACTGCATCATGTACAGAAGTGCGGACAACGCCCAAGCTTGCCTAGGGCCTAGGGCAATCCGTGGATTCCCATGACCTTGAAAGCAAACGAGACAATGCAACGGATGGGATGAATCGAAGCCCCGAAACAGGCATGGCTGGTTAGTTGCGGCACAGACAGGAGCCTGCAAGTGTGGCGGCGACTCGGCCCGCCGTTTGTCGACGATCGGCGCTCGACACAGCTCCCTGTCGGCGACGGGGCAAGCACGAAGCAGGCGCACAGCTGTGCTTCTGCGGAAAGTCTGCGGCATCCACCGAACCTGGACTCCCTGAACCGTCGAAGATGCAACCTTGCCTGAAGCCCTCGAACTTAACCTGAAAAACCGTGTCTCAGCACTCCATCGCAGGAACTCAAGCGATGAGAGGCTCGCGGAGGCCGGGATTCCAGGGGGTGCAAAGGGAGGTGTCCGGGACTTGAAAGTCTAAGGCCTTAGATCCGAACGGCGGAAGCCCGCCTTGTCCTCGGCAGATGGAGAGAGAGAGACGGACGGAGCAGGCAGCAGGCAGCAGGCAGCGGATGGGACCCGTCTTCTTGCCAACAAGCCTCAGCTGGAGTGACAACTCTCGAGCGAGAGGCTGGATTTTCCGAAGCTCCTGCTTCTCCCAAGCCTCCCGGCACAGCAAGGGCCTCTGAATTTCACTTCCTGCGCCCACGGGTTGTGGCACTGGCCACCGCGTGGCCCGCAGTCTCGGAGAGAGTGCTACTTCGCACCGAGCTGCGAGCTAGCAGGCTCAGGCAGGGAACACGAGAAGGCAGGTCGACCTTGCGGTCGGCCCTCGCGGCAGGGATCTGAAGATTTCAACATGGCGGACCCACAATCGACGAGGTGGGCGCAAGCGGCGCTCTGGCAGCACGGCCAGCTTCAACAAACGAGCAACGGCTGATTCCGGGCACCTGCGAAACCCTACACACCGGAACAAGCCATCCCTGACACCCCTCCCTTCCAGGCACCGCATCCCGTGCGGCTGCATGTTCCACTGGCCGTGCTTACCGGCAGAAACTTTGTGGATGCCTTCCTGTACAGAGCCTTCCCTTTTGGCCCGCATATTGCGCAGCACCCAGCTTCCTTCCTCAAGTGGCATCTACGGAGATACAAACGAAGGACTTCCCTGACGCATGCTGAATGACGATGAAGGCACTTCCATCTGGGTGCCTGCTGCTGCCGGTGCCCGCCTATCTTAAAGAATGAGCCTGACCATGGATGCACGGGGCGATGGCTTCCGGCATGCGTTCCGATGCTCAAAAAGGGCTTATTATGGATGGATGCTGCCCTCGTGGGGTGACAGATATCACTTGGAGCAGACGGAGGGATCTGCTCTCAGGTCCCATGCATGATGCCTTGTCCGCCCCAGCCGCCGGTCGAGCAGAGGCTCCATGATCGCCAGCAGCTGCATCGCGGAGCCTGCACCGCAAATCTCGCGACTGCAACTCGGCTGCTCCCTGAATCTAAGGTATCATCAAGAAGCAACAGCGGTACCGGTAACAACCGTGACAGTCGTGCAAGAGCACCAGTCGTAGTACTCGTAGTACAAATAATAACCATCATGCCTCCGGCGTTCATGGCAAAGATCGTCATGAACATCAATATATAAACGCCATGGAGCAATCTTATAGCCCCAAGATCCAAGTCCGGAGCACCCCTCTCACCACCCCATGAGTCCAAACTGCGCACCCCCAAATCTGCGGGACTGTGGCCGCACTGTGGCGGCCCAGGAGCACGATGTTGGCAGGCGGACATGCGTGGGACTGTGCCGAGAAGACAATGTGCACCCCAAAAACACGAAACGAGGGGAACCCTTAGAGTGAAGGGATTTCGAGGACCACACTGTGTAGTGCCAAGGAAACGAAAGCGGTGGCCTGCTAACCGACTTCGAGAGATCTGCCGTCCAACTGATAGAGTCGCGATTTGCACCCAACATGCACCCCTAAATGCGCCCTTGCGGCGGGAGTTGTGATTCCTACGCCAAACGTATCTGATTTCAGCAATGACTTCGGCCTTCTCATGCCTCCCCGGCGAACGGGGCCACAGCAGGACTGCGGAAGGAACACGATTTGTCTCTCTGAGAGATGTCCACCGCGCCACTGCCCGCGCTCGTGCCGGTCGCGCAGTCTTCGCGGTCACAGTAATGTTAAGGAACTGTAGGGACCACATCATGTTACCGAACTGTTTGGGGGAACAGAGCTAGCATAAGCCTGAAGGCAGCTGCGGCTTCCCAGGCAATGTTGGTTTCAATCGATATGCTTTCATGCGCACTCTTCGTACTAACACTGAAACTTCAAGCTCACCGCCACCTCACCTCACCCGGACGAAACAAGTCAAACCTGTACTGAAGTTCCCATGGCTTGTGATCAATGCCGGCCTCTTAGGTCAGCTCCGCACTTCGCAGCTTGCAAAGGCGACTCCTGCGCAGGCTGACCAGATTGCAGCGGAGATTGCGATGTCTCAATATCAAGAGTGTGATGTACTGTAGGGGCCTTAACAATGAGAATAGGGGTGTTGGGGTATATTATGCTACAATCATCAGGAAACCCCAAAATGGTATAGGTAATTACGAAGGCCCATATACACTGTAGGTCCCTATATCAAGTATGGGCTTGGAGCGAGCTCATCAACTGGCATTGAGAGGCTAGAAATCTCAGAGAACTTCAGCTTGTGGCGTTGATGCGGAATGTCTCGGAATTTCCCAGCAGGTCTCCTCCTGGAACCCTTGGCTTGCGAAGCCCATGCGAAGCGGTCCCCTGCACTTCGCGGTTTCTAGGCAGTTTTGAACCATCCTTTGCCCGGCGGTTTCACTAGTAGCCCGTCAACGCAGGGTCAACGCGGGACTCCCCCCTTGAGCCAAACGGCTGGAGCAGTGGAAATCACCTGATAGAGCTGCCTGGTCTAAGATCTGAAGCCATTTCGTGCGAAAGAGATGTTTTGAGCCGTCCTCTTCTGACTCGGCTGCGGAAGTGCTGCGTTTGCTGGGCGCTTTCCGACTTCCGGCGCGGCTCGAAATTAGTTCATGCTTGTAACTTGTTTCAGCAGCTTTTCGCTTCCAAAGCAAGGCGTGTGATGGGATGTGGCCGGCGGGGATAAGTGATAAGCACGGGTTCAGAACCAGTAGCTCACAGCGCACACTGACAGGGTGACACCTTGATTCTGATTTGCCTCCGGGTGCGCAGGGAGGCAGGAAGCCTCAGCATCCCCTTCGCAGTTTGACTACGCTTCAGTCAAGTCGAAGTTGGTCCAGCGACAGAAGCAGCGGCGACACGAGTGACGACACTATGCAGCACGTATATCGTACATCGGAAGATGCCCAGCACCAGTATAGGCGCCACCACCACCACCACCACCACCACCACCACCGTCGTGGTCATGTTCACAATGGCCATCATTTAACTGTCATGTTGAACTTAGCCGCAAGAGTGAGCATCATCGTCGTCATCGTCAGCTTCGTTATCCCCATCGTCGTCCTCATAACCCTATATCGATAGCACAAACCGAACGCAGCCGAACGCTTCTCCTTCGCTTGTGACCACTGAGCAGACTGGGCAGCTCTGATAAAGCACACTTTTTTGGTCCCCGGCCTGGTACCCCGCTCGGTTCTGAATTCACCGCTGTAGCAGCGGCTTCGTTTCGCGGCTTATCGTAGACACTGGCGCTTTGAAGGTCCAGTGACGGTGCCGCTCGCATGCTGTATGAGAGGAAGAATCAGGCGACGCTTGCCGGTATGTCCAGTCTTCCGAGATGCGCTCATCGTGTCCGGCTCCTCGACTGGCTTCACAGAGTCAAGCTTCACATCTTGCGGCATTGGCCGGTTGAGAGGTGCGGCAGGCACCGCAAGATAACCAGCCTGCTCCAAGCCACACTGCAGCCGCCACGTACCGAATGTCGAATTTCTGCCTAAACTTTGCAGAACCTGCTTCACAATCGCAGGTCCATGCTGCTTGCTCAGAGCTGGCTGGTTCACCCAGAAGGTCCGCCAAAGACAGGAAACTGGATACGTCAGCAGCAAACCAAACTCCTGGCTGGGATCTCCAAGAAACTCAACACGAGCAAAGGACTTGAGGCTGCTCTCCTGCAGGGTAAGGCCATGGATCAGGTCCCAGTAGTCTCTGAAGGCACTCTCTGTGCGGAGCTCTTCCGGGAGTTGCTCTTTGGGCATCTGCCCTTCTTGCCAAATGTGGGTAATCTGTGCTGCTGTCAGCCGCGGCAAGACATGGATCCGGGGTCTTTTGCTGGCCTCAAAGCCCTGGAGGCAGTAGCTCCCGGCCAGTTCAGGCGCCCGCGAGGAGCGGGCGAGGAAAGGAGCCAACGGCTGTACCAGCCGCACATGAGCAGAGAAGCGCAGCTCTGCTGTGATCTGAGAGGAGGAAGCCGATGCCTTGTCACATTCCACATCCACGCAGGGAACTCGAAGAGAGGGTCGCTGAAGGATGTCCGTGCTGGACATCTGCGACTGGAACAGTCGGCACGGAAATTCCGCAGATTGCCAGGAATCCCTGCGCAAGCTGTCCCGCACAGCAAAGGCTACCAGCCGGCGAAGGATGGCATCCGTAGCCTTTGCCGCCGGCAGGTTCGCAGCGGCTCGATCGGGTAAGAAAACGATGGAGAAGCGATGCTCCATTTCGAGAAGCACTTCGTGTGCAATGAGCATCTCCGAGCCGCTGCTCGGTGCCATGATGGCCACCGCACTTCCGGACGCAGGTGCCGCCAGCAGTTCTGCACCTCTCTCTCTAGCCTTTTGGACAAGAAGGCGGCTGAGCTGCACAGCGGGGTTGCGGAGCACGTAGACTCGTTCTGGCGGCCGCTGCAGCAGCAACGAGCTGCCTGGCTGCAGCTGGGCGCAGCGATGAAGAGGAAGGCCATCCCCCAGGAGGGCCAACCAACGCTCATCGACACACCTGAGAGTCTCAGCAAAACGTGAACCCAGCCTGAACCCATAGACCCAACTTGGCCTCAATTACTACTCGTTCGGTCCTTGGTGCCAATGTATGCTACTATTGGGGATCCGTAGTTTTGTGAAACCCCCCACCTCCGCAGGCTTGCAGAGCCTTGTGCTGAAAGAACTCGCAGACCACGGAAATCCCGATCGGGTCCAACGCCAAGCATGAGCTCTACCGCAACTCCATGACCTGCAACTCCAGTCTGAATTAAATTATAGTGGGGTTCTACGTTGAGGATCCTACTGTTTCTGCCTTAAGGTCCACTTTTTGCTCGAGGCTCGCCTGACTCGCCTGGCTGCGCCCACTGCGAATGAGATCTCTTCCAGATTCCAGAGACATCGATGCAATTCAAGTTCGAAGCCTTTACGGCAGACACCTCCACCGCCAGGCAAGACTCAAGGACGAAAGGGAAGAAAGGGCAAACGCTGAAGCTGCTCCCAGCAGGAGCGTCGATTGACAAGCATGCCTTGTGCTCGCCTTTTCTCATCTCACTTGCGGCCTCCATGTCCGGCTGGAGTTGAAGTCCAAATCTCCTGCATGGGAACTTCTCGCTGCCCGCTCTCGCTCTGGCTGCGGAGAGGGAGAGCGACGCAGTTCCAGGCGTAATTCCCTCGGCTGCCTCGCCATGCAACGGAAGCAGCACTGATTTCGCGGATGCCGGCCTCAATGGCATTGCTCGGAGCAACAGCCAGCAGCCGAGGTCACCCTCTGCGGGCTAAGTTGGGCAAGGCAGCTAAGCACTCAGAAATGCCGACTACGATCGCATGTGAACAAGCTGTTGAAGATGTGGAGCTGTGATTCTGGGACTTGCATGCTGTGGCGCTAAGCAGCTTCCATGCCCTGCTGAGCCCGCGCTCTTAGTGGCCACGATGAAACACAAATGCAAAGCATTCCCCACTGCAGAACCTACCTGTACAAGCTTGCACGGAAAGTTGATTTTCAGGTCGGCGGCCGGTGCGCCGGTGCATTATCAGGGGGTGTTCCTGTGTGGACTTTGCAGGCAGCACCCTGTGCATTAGATGGGCAAAAGGCAGCTTCCCTCTTCGGGAGGTGCACCCTTGCGATGCCGACGCCACCTCTGATCGAGACCGAGATTCAAGACGGGCTACTGACAGCTTATGGATTGAGATGAGTCCCCGCGACAGAGGAAGGGCCATTTGGCAGAGCTTGCATACGACATGTCCGAGGCATCTCGACTGTCGGCCCTTGCTGGCACGCTAGGCCGAGGTAGCCTCGCTAGGGTGAGACCTCACTTCTTTTCTTTCTTCTCCTTTTTCTCCTTCTTCTCCTTCTTCTCTTTCTTCTCCTTGTCCTTTCCTGAAGTCTCTTCCTTCGATGGCTCCGCGGGCGCCTCTACCGGAGCGTTGGTCTCCTTGGGCTCCTCCGCCTGGGCCGCCTTTCCCCCCGCCCCTTCTGCCTCGCTCTCCGGGCCCAGGCTGTTACCGGAGAGCTGCAGGCGCCAAGCCCTTGGGCTCATCAGCTTCCTTGGCTGACTTCTGAACCCCTCCTAAAAGTTAAACTTTTAGCTACCTTACTATAAATCATATAGAAACCCAAAAAGTTAAAGTCCTAAGAGCCAAGAAAAAGAACGCCAAGCTTCTCCACGGAGGAGGCCTTCTTCCAGGCCTCCAGGCGCATCAACACCAGGGTGCCCGCGAGGCTGCTGGGATGCCCATTTTCCCCGGGCTGCAGGTCCTGGTTTTCAATGAAAGCCTTCAGGTCCTCGTGGCTGATCTGCCCCTCCTTGGCCAAAGACGACTTTTCGAGGATGCTGGAGACGAAGTCCACCTCCTCGTAGGTGATGTCTCCGAAGCAGACATGTGTGCCGACCTGGAGTTCGTCCTCCTTCAGGAGCCGGAAGACCTCAGGCAACTCCCCGACCTCGATCATGCCACTCCGCTTCTTCTTGTCCACCGTCTTCAGCACTTTCAGAACTGGGTCCGTCGTCTTGTCCTGATCAGAAGGTGCTCTATACAACTCTATACCACCCTCACATCCCCTATGTAAGCACCCATGCCATTGAAAAAGCACAAGGACCAAAGGGATGGCCTCGTGCTCCAGGACCACCTTGACCATCAAAGCAGCAAGCTCCGGAGGGTCGTGGCTTCCTTGGTTCACCTCAACGGACAGCTCCTCCGCGTGCTCCGTGACGGACCGATCCAAAAGGCGCCTCAGGACCTCAAGGGGTCGGAGCTCTGCTGAAGTCAAGAACTTGCTTCGTAAACCTGGGCATGGCTGGACGATCTTCACTCACTCTGTGCAGAAGGTAGCTCAAGCTTCTATAGAACCCCAGACTCATCCCATAACTCATATTCAATGAAACTCCGGCCTCCAACGCCGCCGTCTCACAGGCAGCACTCCGCTGTGCCTCGGGGACCCCCGATGCGCTGACTTCCTCCTCGCCGCCCTCCTTCCACCTCAGCTTGAACTACCAGGTTTAGGGTTTAGGGCTTAAGGCTTTGAAGGATTTCGATTTGTTCGGGGGGTTTCGTGTTCAGGACGTTGGGGGGTTCATTCCCTAAGGCTGCACGTGCAGAATCTAATCTGGAGTCTTGAGAAGCTGCCCGTATCAATGTTACCGTTCTGACCTCAATCCCATTCACACGACGAGTATGAACAACGATTTCCAACAACGTCCCGGGGGCTTCTCGTATTTTGTCAGATCCTGGCTATACTTGGCCATGGCCTGCTGATGTTTGTCCCACTTGTCCTTGACACCGTCATACTCCTTCTTCAAAGCCTTCAGCTTCTTCTCCGGAATCTCCGTGCCGTCGGCCGTTTGGGTTGGCACTCCCTTGTCATCGAAGGCGCCGAACTTCCCATCATGCTTCCCGGACTTGAAGTGGTCCGCGGGATCCACCAGACCTGCCGAGCGAAGTTCCCAACCGCCCACGCCGAAACTCCTAAACTCTGAAAGCCCGCGATCCCATACTCCCCTAAGCCCAAAGCCCCCTAAAATATGGAGACTACCTGGCTCTATAAGGGGTATATAAGGCCTAAAATCTTCAGACTGAAAGCCCGCGATCTCAAACTCCCCTAAGCCCAAAGCCCCCTTGCCCCAAACCGCCCCAAAAAACCTCCGAAAATGTTTTCTGAGGAACTCTAAACCCTAAACCCTAAACCCTAAACCCCCCCAAACAAATCCAGGCCTTTGGGAGCCTTGGGCTCTTTGGGTGCCTTCATCTTCGTCGGCTTTTTGACGGCTGGCCAAGGGCAAGTCTTCAAACCCAGACCAGAGACTCCAATATCCCTTATTTAAGGAGTATACCTTAAATTATAGTAGGATCCTTAGTATGATTTAAGGTATGTTCCTTAATTAAGGGATATACCTTAAATTATAGTAGGATCCTTAATATGATTTAAGGTATGTTCCTTAATTAAGGGATATTGGAGTCTCTGGGAGCTTCGCTTTCGGGCTTCGGGCGCAGGATCTCGGGCCTACGATGCATGCTCTGGGGTCTTGCAGACGGTTTACGGTTTAGGGGTTTAGGGGTCTAGGGTTTAGGGATTTAGGGGTTTAGGGGTTTAGGGTTTAGGGTTTAGACGCCAACTAGCCCGGGCAAGACTTGCGGCTTCCAGCACTCCATCTCAACAACCAGTGCGAAGAGATCTCTTGAAAGCCTATAAACTAAAGCCAAAGTTGAACTCTGAACCCCAAACCACCAAGACCTTCTCCACTGAGAGGTCAGAGACACACGTCAACCAAAAGCACCATGGAAAATCAAAGTCGCACTCCAAGGGATGTCCCTTGTGCCTTGGATCTTGATTCCTTCCCACAATTGCTGATCGTCGCTCAGCGCCTCAACATTGACCACAAAGGACGTCAGCCGTGACGACTATGACGGCAAGACCGAACTTGCACAAGCACAAACACGCAATTCTGATGGAAATCCTGTCAGCAACTGTAGCAATATGAACGATCCTTCCATCACCATTATCATAAACAGCACACGGTAGATTCTCTGCCAACAGATCAGGACCACGACGACCACACTACCACTGCTGCCACTACCGCTGCCGCTACCATTACCTATGACACACTACCACGACGACGACGACCACCTCCACTACTACTACTGCTTACTACTAGTACGACTGCTGCTACTGCTACTGCGACTGCCATTGCTGCCACTACAAACTACTCCCAACAACAACCCACTACTACTCCTCCTCCTCCTCCTGCTGCTGCTACTGCTGGTGGTGGTGGTGCTGCTGCTGCTGCTGCAAGCCACCCCCGTACCAACGACCTGCCGGCTGAAACCATCATGTCCATCATCACAAGCACTAAAGCTTGCAAAGTCGACAAATTGATGTTTGAGGCTTGTGGTAGGACATTACGAAGGTACTGTAAATAACGAGTAAAATGCACGTGCGCACAAGCGAGTCGTCATTACCCCCACGCCCCCCCACCCCCCTAACCCGCCCACGCCCCGAACCCTTCCAAAATCCGAAGCTCCAGTTTGCAAAGTCGACAGGTGGATTTTGAAACAGCAAGAAGTGGTAGGACATTACGAAAGTACCGCAAATAACGAGTATAACCGTCGTTGGTAGGGGGTGGGGGCGCCCACTACTACTACTACTACTACTACTACTACTACTACTACTACTACTACTACTGCTACTACTACTACTGCTACTACTGCTACTACTGCTATTGCTACTGCTACTGTTACTACTGCGACCACTACTACTACTACTACTACTACCACTACTACTACTACTACTACTACTACTACTACTACTACTACTACCTCTACTACTACTTATCCTACTACTCCTACTACTACGTACTACTACTTCTTGCAATATTCTTCTTGCCACAACTTTGATCATGGTTCCCAAGGGTTAGCGCTGGATGAGTTTGGGCCATTCAATCGTCTAGGGGGCAAGCATAAGCTTCCTAGTGCAGTGTTTAACCCAGCCGTATGCAATCCTGATGACAACACCGTAGGCAAGCGATGAACCCCCAAGCCAAGGCCCACACCATCAGCTTCTTCATCAGAGGGTCGTGCACACTGACTGACTTAAAGCAGCGGTCCTGCCCACGAACGTACCACAACTTCAATTGCCTTGTTCTTGCAGGACCGTATGTGCTCGCAAAGTAGCCATTGAGGGTCTGCGATTTCGACGGTTAGAGGCTCTGAGCTTCCAGAGCTTGGTTGCAGGTTCCACTGTGGCCGCCCGTCGCAGAGGCAAAGCAAACAACGCATCTCCGGCTGCTGTGGGCTACGTGGGATCCTCCAGTCCCTTGAGCTTCTTCGCCACGGCTTTGTCCTGGTTTTGAACAGCAGCAGATGAGGATGTCCAAAAAGGACTGTGCCAAGAGATCTGCTGACAGAATCTTGGCTCCGGGGTGTCCTTGCGAACTCTGGCGTCCAACTTCTGACCCACGACTGGCTCAAGCCTTAGTTATCCGACTCTTGCAGCGCTCAAGTGACATAAGTCTATGAGCATGAGAAGTGACAAGACATGCCAGCCGAGACAACAAGGACGACGACGACGATGTCAACACCCACACGAATCACAGACAACTTCCGGCGAGATGGAAGGGCTTGATCGCAGCATGGGATGTTGTCAAACATTGGGTCATTCCCGGAACCCTCATGTGCAACAACGGGCACTGCGTTACATGCTTCATGATTTGAACGACTTTGGTTCACTTACCAGATACTCTTGCAGTGGGCAACTCAGTGATGCTGGTGGCAACTACATTGGTGTAGCACAGAACTTGAAAGGGCTTCGTCAGACCATCTGTGCCTTGACTGCCGACGTGTAAACGACCGTTTTCGACTTCAGCCTGCAACGCTTCGTTGCACAGCTGCCGTTTGCACATAGACTTGCATCACCTGCTTGTGCTCACTGAAGCACCATACTTTCTGTGCAGGTTTCTCCTGTTTCACTCCAATCAACTCAGACTTCGGCCCGCAAAACACCAACACAAACACCATCGCCACCGCCATCAGCAGCGGCGCCAAAAGCAACAGCGACAGCAGCAACCACCACGACGACGAGTCAGACCCGTTCAATCGCTCGGCAACGCCTACCATGAAGAACAATGTCGGCATATTGAAAGTCGACAGGCTTCCTCAGGCCAGGACTCATCGGACCACACCGCCCTATCCCGGTCCTCCGGAACCTCCTCCACTACCACGACCAGCGGTGTCCTGCCGACTTCACTTTGGAGAGCATGGGAAAATCATCAGTCCAGCACACACATGGGTCTCGGGGTTCTGGGAAGCAGAAGCGCTGCAAGCCACGTCAGTAAAATTATTCTCCGAGTTTTTCCCCGGCTTCCTCTGGGTAATTATGCCGCAATATGCTGTTGCATTTTGCAAAGCCACGTGTCACGTGGCCACTACTCAGACACTCAGACAGCAGCGACCTACAACTGCATTCAAAATTCAGATGCAAGCGTTGGTTGCTCTTTGGTCGCCCTGGTCATTAAGAGTGAGGGGCCCGGAAGCAGAGAGGGCAAGCTCAAGGAAGCTGAGATGATGCCCTCCCAGGTCTCTGTTAGGTGGCTTTGCCAATGCCCACAGTCATAGTCAGCTTCTGCTGACAACAGCAGCAGCAGCCCTTGAGGCAATCCGAGACGACTGCCAAGGAGGAGACTTCCGAGCGGCGACTGGAGACGCTCTCCGGGGTGCTCCTTGCCGGAGTCGCCCTTCCTGTCGAAGCCTCGCGGAGAAGTATCATGATGATCACTGTAAGGGCTAACATGGGCATAAGGGCTAACATGGGCATTTCATCCTGAGTACAACGGTTTTGCTGCTACCACTCAAACTATTTCCGCATCACTAGTGTGACTTGTCATTCGTGGCAGGATGTCTGCCACTCGTGATGACTTCCGTCCTTGTCTATGTACGAGTACCATGAGCCTGAGCACAAGTTTTTCAGTGTTAGTCGCAGCACCATCATAGCGTCACTATGACATGAGCAAAGCACTAATTGCGTGAGTACGTTTACTAGTATTACGTAGTGTCCGTGCGGGTACGCATATGTGTGTTGATACTAGTACCAGTGGGAAGTGGCAGTCAGTATGTCTGCTAAAATTTGCTCGCAAGTGCTTTCGTTCTGTAGGTGATTTCTATGCTTCAGTGTGCTGTTGTTGGAGTGGCAAGAACTGGAAATATGCGAAGCTTCAGTTTTACTCCACAGGTGCTCTCTCTCTCTCTCTCTGTCATCTTGGGGGGGGAGGCTCTGTTCATGTTGTGCTATACCGTGCGGCCCCTGCTGCCACTGCAGGGAGTTCGAGAAAATGCAGGAAGACATCCTCGGGTCTGGCCTTCCGCTCAAGAACAGACCCAATCATGGGGATGTTCGAGATGATGGTGTTCCGCTTCTGCTGCTGGGCGTTCCCCTGGGTAATGGCCGTCTTCAGGACATCTGCCACCTGTCGGCGTGAGCGCTTTCAACTGGAAAGTCTGGCTGGGGCCAAGGCTTAGCGTTATCACAGGATTTCGAGCTATCCTAACCCTCGACAACCTTCAACATATGCTTACAACCTAAGGAACTCAAACCCTGCAAGAGAGAAGAAATCCCGTTCGGCCTCCAGAAAACGCCCTTCCTTGGCAGCCCGGAGAGGGGTCAGCATCCCGTGCCCGGTCACTGTCACGGACCGCTCCTGCTTGCGACTTGAGTTTACGGTAGGACGGTAGGTTTTGAAGGCTTACTGCTTTGGATGATTTACGCACTCCAAAAACTCTCCAATGTCAGAAGCCAGGCAGGCTGCGCTGCACAGGGCAGGGCTGGGAGGTGCTGGGAGGCTGAGGCTGGGAGGCTCCAAAAGGGAGGGTGAAAGACGGCATGGCTTCCTGCACCCCGTGGTTTTTGGCTGACAGAATGGAGGGTGAAAGAATATCTGGCTTCCTTCACCTGCCCCCCCTGTCTGGCGAACAAAAAGGAGACCCGACAAACGCGCAAAGAATTGTATAACTCCCGCAGCATTGTATAATCCACCGAAGAATACGGACCTCTAAGACTCTAAGTCGAAGGCATGATACGCATAAAGCGAAACAGATACACCGCCTAAACCCAACAAAAAAAGGCACACCTTTCTCCGATTCAAGAAAGGGCTCCGGATCGGCGCCGAACTCCAGCAAGAGCCGGACGATGCTCGTGTGGCCTTTGTGAGCGGCACCACAGAGAGGGCTCCAACCTGCTTCTGGGCTTATGGGTGCCACGGTTGAAGGGGTTTAGGCGTTTAAGGGTTTAGGGCTTACAGGCTTGAAGGCGTAAGAGTGAACTAAGCTCAAGGGGATCTTAAGGCTTAGAGTTGTTGGAGCCCTTTTCCGGTGGGTGTGCTTCCTACGTTTAAGGTTTCCGGCCTTTTTTCGTTCCGCACTCGGACTTTTTTTGTTCGGTTTTTGATCGTTCGGGATTGGAGTTTTGAGGTTTACGACGGTTTACGGTTGTCCGGGTCTCTCGGGTTTAGGGTTTCGGGTTCTCAGACTTCCGGGATTAGGGCCTTCAAGGTTTTGGAGGCAGAGGGTTTTGGGTTGAGGTGCGATTTAGGTTTCGGGATTTATTTTTGCGGGAGTGCTTGGAGAAGTTGGAACTGCGTTTGTTGTCTAGTGTGGGGCCCGGCCCGGGCATCCAAAATCTTCGGGCTTCGCAGCTGAGAAGGGGCCTTTAAAAAAAAGCCCTCAACCCTAAATCCCTAAAGGCTAAACCTCTATCCCGGAAACCTAAATCCCATAATTGATCCCGAACCCTAGGCTGCCCACAGAACACATGGGTGGTTGTCAAAATGATGGTCCCCTTTTTTGGGTCCTCATTATGATACGGCACCTATCATTTAGGGTACCCCAAAAGGGATCATAATTTTGACAACCCACATGGCTTCCTAGCGCCGGCCTGTGGAATCCGTGGCTTCCACGTCTGCGGAGAACTCAAGAAGGTGGCTGGTGACCAACTGCAGGGTTTAGGGTTTAGGGTTGTGACAAGGGTTTAGGGTTTAGGGTTTAGGGTTTTAGGAGGGAAACATCTGGGACTGGAGAGCAAGAAGAGGAACGAGAAGGAGATCGATAATTATCATATTGATGGTGGTACTAAAAAAGGACTAACAAGCACAACAGAAAATACTTATATTCATAGTCACAACAACACTTCTAGACATGACAAATCATTACAATCCTAGGAAGACGAATACTCTTCTGGATCTTGGTTTGGGGTTTAGGGTTTAGGGGTTCAGGGGTTTAGGGGTTTAGGGTTTAGGGTCTATCTTGGTTTGGGGCTCCTTCCCTGAAAAAATCTCCCGGACCTGGTACCCTTGCCACGCAGATACGTGGAGTGCACGATCGCCTTCCCCTGGAAGGTTGGGATCCGCTCTCGCTCTTAGAAGCACCTCAGGGGCACTTCAAGTCCTAGACCCTACACCTAAACCCTAAGCTTCATGGCTTTTAGGGTTTCACTTCTTCGAAATCCGGCTTATAGGGCCTCTCTATCTATCTATCTACCTACCTACAACCTCGCTATCTATTTATGTATTTCTCTATCTATCTATCTATCTATCTATCTATCTATCTATCTATCGTTCTTTATTTCTTCATGTCTGTATTTCTTTCCTCTTTCTTTATTATTTATTCTTTGTGTATTTCTTTAGTTCTTTCTTTATTTCTTTAGTTCTTTCGTCACTTCTGTCTTTCTTTCTATATACGGTGACCGTGTATATATATATATACACAACGGGTTGGGGCTTTAAGGCTCTTAGGGTGAATCAGGGTTTAGCGCAGAAGCACCTCGAGGACTTCAGCCTGTCCCGAGAAGGCCGCCTCCTTCAGAGGCCACCGGTCGTTCCTGGGCTCTTCTTTAAGGGAGCCTGGGGTTAGGGATTTAGGGTTATTTTGGGGGGTTTAGGGCTTTGGGGTTTAGGGATTTAGGGTTTTTTGGGGGTATAGGCTTTAGGCTTAGGGGTTTAGGGGTTTAGGGATTTAGGGTTTTTTGGGGTTTAGGGCTTAGGGCTTAGAGCCTGGATATGGGGTTTCGAAGGATTAGGATCTGGGGTTTGGGATAAGGACCTAGGCTTTAGGGTGACCTAAGGCTGCAAATTTTCGTGGCCAGGCCAGGGATCTGATGATCTGATGTATGTATGATGATTATTCGGGTAGCTCAACCCTAAACCCTAAACCCTAAACCCTAAACCCTAAACCCTAAACCCTAAACCCTAACCTGAGCTCTTTTGCAAGAACCACGGCTCTCGTCCGCCATGTTCGGGTCCGCCCGGTCCGAAAGCAGCTCTCTAACTCGTGAGGCATCAGAGGACTTGGCAGCCTCGGCCAAAAGGGCGGCCTTGTGGCGTTTCAGCCGCTCCTCGATGTCAAATCGCTCCTTGTGCTGCTGGGGATTCCCCAGCCAAGCGCCACCCGGCATGGCTCCGCTGGATCTCATGTGCTGTGCGCTGATGTCTCTCCAAACTCTGACTTCGGTGGGCCCGGCTGTTTCATTTCCAGTGCTAGGCCTGCGGCTTACGGTTGAGTCAGGAACTCCTTGACTTTTTTTGAAGGACTGTGTGGCAAGTCAACATGAAACGGCAAGGAGACATTCTGACCATGTGAATGAAAACGCGCTGCAGTGAGTTACGGGTAGCCAAGCACACGGTCCGGGAAGTTGGCGACAAGGGCCGTAGGTGCTCCACCTCCTCCTTGGGGTTAAATGCGGGAGCGTTGTCCGTAGATTGCACAACGTACCAACAAAAAGCCTGTTGAGGCCCGGACGGTGTATTGCACTTCGGCATACTTCTCCAGGCATTGCTTCCGAATCTTGGACAGTAAGTAGGCTTCGTACTTTCGCTTGTCGTTTTGCCATTTGTCCCACCTCAAACGACAGGCACCCACAGCGAGGTCCAGAAGCGCATGACATTCGAGCATCAGGCGGCTTCTGAAGCAGAGCCAGATCCTGCGCAAGGGCTCTGGGTTTGATCCAGTGATCTATAGGTTAAATGCGCATCTCACTGGACGACGAGGGGATACGACTATTCTGACAACTGCATTTGTTTACTGTTTGGATTGGGATTCGGGGTTGAGGGCTGACGCTGCGCAGCTTTCGCTTCATTGAGAACCATCGCGCACGCTCTATGTTGCTGGATGCTGGGGGCAGGGGCATGCCCAGTACCACCACTCTAAATCCTCAACCATGAATCCGAATTCTTACACCGACGCTTACTTGGCGTCCTTCTTCAGTGCTGCCAACTTCTTCTTGTCAAGCGGCTTGCCTTCGGAATCTGCTGTCGGGACCTCATGAGACTCTTGAAGCCCTGAACCCTAAACCCTAAACCCAGGCTTTGGTGTTTAGGCCCTTTGTGGCTGAGGTCCGCCTGTGATCGTTCTGTAGCCAGTGTTCCCGCTGCATACCGCTGTCGATCCAACATTATCGCGAGGTCGCCGCGCTGCCCTGCAAAAGTTGCGCTCGATGTTTGGTTGCAGTATGCAACTTGGGCAACTACTTGCTATGAGCATATAGCATCGCTTCGCTTCGCTCAGGGTGACCCGCGGTCGAGATATGGTCGAGGCCGTGCTGGGTCTGCCATAACCTGTTCGATTAAACCTTTCTCATATTGCAAAGGATGTGACCAAAAACCACAACATCCCTTCATCATACTAAGCATCGCGCTGGCACACAAAGTGTGTACATTTTCAATTAATCTGCGGGGACTGCCGTCCTTCTTCAGTTTTCCCATATCTGCTCAGAGGCTCGCTGGGAATACCCACACTTCGTGGCCCATGGGTAGTCCCCCGCACTTTCTTTCCCTTCGACTTGCATCGTCAGCGGCTGGGTGGCGCAATGTTCTGTGCTGTGCAGACAACGTTTAGGAATCGAGGAAGGAGATGATCAACACTTGTCTTGTCCCATTTCTGCCGCGGGTTCCCGAAAAAATTACCCTGCTGGTATTCACAGTCACCAGCGCCTGACATGCGTAGTACTTGGCCGGGTACAGTAGGCCGGGAGCCTAAACGTCCTCACGCAGTGCCGCGGCCGAAGCCACGACACCTGCAACACCGCCACAGAAGCCAAGGCCCAAACCCCATCCGGACCTCGTTCACCGTAGTCCTTGGAAGAAAAGGAGGACGGGCTTAGGGTTTGAGGATTTAGGGTTTAGATGGGTTCAGGGATTTGCGGTTGTCACAAGGGAAAGGACAATAAGCACATAGAGTCCCTTCTTGTTTCATGCGGCACATTGGAAGCTCCACCCGGGTCAAAGCCGAGGCTTTGGGGGGCTATTTTGAGACCACCTTCGTTTAACCCTAAACCCTAAACCCTAAACCCTAAACCACCTTCGTTTATGGCTTTAGGGTTCTTCCAGGAGCCAGAGCATCTCCCAGATCCACAAGACTCCGGCTCTTAAGGCCTGTTAAATCCCAAGCCCTATAAGCCCTAAACTCTGTAGCCGTTATAGGCCCCATAAACGCTGTCGAGGTGAGTATGAATCTTTGTGAAAATTGTTGAGCCCCTGCCCCCAGAAATCTGGGGCAGCTGCACTGAACAGCGTAGCTGGATCCGTGGGCTGCTCACCGGGCGGCTGGACTTCCACATCCCCTGAACCGGGATGAAAAGCTGTTACTGTCGCTCCAACGGTTGCGACACGAAGCTTACGGGCTGCCTAGACGCCCCGCACCCTCAAAGCCAGCGCCTCCACTCTGCTTTTGCTTTTCAAGCCTTGCTGTGGCGACATCGCAGCAGTCACACAAAACATAAGACTCTCTTCCTTTCGGGCTCCGGCGCTTTCCAAGAGGCCATGCGATCAGCCACCTGGGTCATAGACAGGCAGGAGAGACTCTCCGGAGTCCCGAAAAGCAAAAGCTCTTCTGTAAGACAAAGCCCCGTGCTGCCATGTTTTTGAAGCTCTCGTCGTAGGAGGGGTAAAGCCTGCTGCGCCGTGTTTAAACTCCCTTCTGTCAGCACTGCTTCTAAGGACTCTTGCTGAACGCCCCCTGACTGCTGTGATTCTGATGGCTAGTCCTCGTCTCCTGGGCACCGCCGGTGGCAGAGGAGACAAGGGAAGCAGTAGCAGGTGCTGCGAGGATACATGTGCATGACTGCGCATGCATGCTCACTACCTGGAACCTTCGCAGCATGTAGATTCACGTCCATCCCACCTCCTCTGCCTTATATCTTGAACCCCCCCCCCCCCACGCGCGAAAGAAAACTGGCCGGGGCGGCTCATCTCGGAGAAAAGCTTTGACATTTTCCTCAACAGACATCTCGAAAGCCTGGGCTTGGCGCTTGGAGGTGTAGAGGTGTGGCACGGATGGGCTTACTGCATGCTTTGCTTTGCATATCTGGCATATCAGGCATATCTCACCCGAGCCCTTGAAGCCTAAATCCTCGAGCGTTGAGTTCGAACCCGTGGGCTCCAGCTTTCCCCTGCTGGGCGTGGCCAATCTGCACGTCTCTGAAAATTACCCGAGACCCGGTGCCATAGGAGTTCTCAAAAGGAAAGGGCGTGAAGGGTCCTGCTATGAGGGATCTGTACAGGGCCCCTCATGTTCCGAAACTTATGGAGCACCTCGAAGAAGCGAATGGCAATCCTCTTTGAGGCCACGCTGGTCTTAGCACCACCTGCGCACTGCTGCAATCAATGGACTTCTCGCTAAGGGCTGGGACGATTGGCGTCTGCAAGCTTGAAACAGGAGGTGTGTGGAGTCAGTTGAAAAGTGGACGGGACACAGACCCCACACCTTTAGAGAAACCAGGAGCCGCTGACCTCACTTTTAAGGAGCCCCACCTGCGTATCCATTAATTATCCGCGTAGGCCAGGTGTCAGGATCAGTCTTCGTAACATGACGAAAACGCTGAGCTTACGGTAACCATGCTACGATTCTTGAACCATTCGTGATTCGCGGCCTGTCGACTTCGATCTGGAGGTGGCTTTTTCACCTAAGTAAGGTTTAGGCAGTTCAAGCATAGCCTCAGTTCACGAATTTGGGATTTGGGGAGTAGGGTTGGGCGATGCCCGCCACCTACTTGGGAAGCGCTGCAGTATCCAAGCAGTGACGGCACGGCAACGGCAGCAAGTTGAACATCTCAGAAGAACAGCGATGACTGCCACATATCAGCATCTTGCCC